GGACTGATCAGGCCTGCAAATTCCTTTATTTGGGGATTTTTCTTCATAAATTCTGGGAACCCCAAACATTCTGAAGTTTAAAAATGGTATTATCTTTGGCTTACTTTTTTCCACTTTTAAGACATCAGAATCGTCATCCCCTGTAGCAGATTTGGAACTGTGGAGAAAGAAAAGTACATCCATATACATGAATCTCGGGAGCTAAAAAGGCATCGTGGCAGATTAGCATTCTGTGAGATGCCAGCCTCATAGCTGATGGTTGACAATGCCAGTTAATCCAAGTTTGAGAATTTTAGGTTTTGTCCAGATTTTCTGAAAAGTGTGGGGAAGGGAGCAACCACTTTCAGGAGACCAATTTGAATTAGGTACACACATCTGACTTAATTTATAAAGCAGACAAGACAATCAGAATTTTATTAATGAAATAACACAGGTTGGTAGCATAAATAAGAGGGCCAAGATTGAAGGAGATAGAATATTTGTAGAACCTTTTGAACTAATGCAATAAGACATGAATGTTGCAGGTTATACTTTGTTCAAAAAGAGTGAGAAGGCAGAAGAATGAAAAGGGTCATCTTCACAGCATTTGGATTTAACAAATACTTTTGGGTTCTCATGTTCAAATCACTGTAAGAAGTACTTTTAGTCTCTTCAGGCTGCTGTAACATAAATACCACGGACTGGGCAGCTTAAACACCACACATTTATTTCTCACAGTTCTGGAGGCAGGGAAGTCCAAGTCTGAGGTGCTGGCAGATTTGCTGTCTGTTGAGAGCCTGCTCCCTGGTTCACAGGCGGCCATCTTTTCACTGTCCCTTTCATGCAGTGGAGTAGGGGATCTCTCTGACGTCTTTCTCTTATTAGGGCACTAATCCCATTCATGAGGGCTCCACCCTCATGACCTAATCCCCTCCCAAATGCTGTACCATCTAACACCATCACACTGGAGATTAGGTTTCAGCAAATGAATTTGGGGGGAGGAGGGGCAGGGGAATGCAAATAGTCTGACTATAACAGGTACTTTAAGAGGAAAAAAAGGTAAATAAGACAGAATCACTGACCTCAAGAAGCTAACAGATCAAAAAGGTAAAATATTTCTCCTCCTTTTGTCTAAACATCAGAATTCTTTAAGACATTAAATGGTACTTCCTCTGTGAAACCTTACTCCACCTCACCACTCTCCTGCAGGTGCCTTTATTCTAGCATTTATCTCATTGAATTGGGACATAGGTTTTCAAATACTTTTCCCTAAATAGGTGTTTCCTTGAAAGCAGAAACTCTGTCTTATTTAGTCTTACATCCCCTGAATAAGGCCAGAGATCTAGTAAGTGCTTGATCATATTGGCTTAATGAGTGAACAGAATTTTAAAATAGACCACTTACTGACAGAGTCAAAAAACACAAAGAGAATTATTTATGTATATTGGACAACAGGTGAATGGGTTATCTTAGATTTAAAACAAAGACTGGCTGAATCTGAAAACTCTGGGTGAAAGAAGGTTGCAGAGAGTTTTATAAACTCCTGCATAAGTCTGAATATAGTAGCAATAGGAATAGCTTGGAAGTTGGAGACTTCATAGCGTGGAAAGGGGCTTCTTCAAATCCTTTGTGAGCCAACCTCCATTTGTTTAGAGCTGGCAAAGGTCTGCATCCAACAGTCCAAATTTTCAAGTTGGAGTGTTATCAACTTGACAGCAGTTACAATTTTTATAAAGAACTTATTCAAATTATCCCACTGAAATGAGAAGCAAGCAGCCAATCCTCCCATTATTGTCACATCCAATTACATAGGACTTTGGAACGCTTTCCGTCAGGAAGTTCCTGTTGAGCTGTCTAAAGAGGGCAATTCTTTGCTGTCCTTATCCGCTGGATCTGTTGCGTCTAAATTATATGCATAATGCATAAGTGAGCTATTGATGTTTCCTCTCTGTGAACGCCACTGGACAGACTCTTCAGTTTGTTTTTCATCTCTCCTATAAACTGGGCTGATAGATCGTGATCTAACAAGACCAAATTGTAGTAATAATGATCATAATGACTAACATTTGTGTAGCAATTTCTAGTTTGCCCAGATCTTTATAACCATGATTTTCTTTGCCCCTCACTAATATTCAGGATTGTGAGCTATTAAGATGCTTTGGATCAGGGCCTGTAATTATGCGTCTAAGGGAACTTGGCTATAAGATTCACCGCCACACTAGACCTGGTTCATTGTGGTCTAGTTGGCTTTGTATGTGGTTAGTGCTGTCCCCCGGCATCAATATTGTAAAACATCACTTCTCATCTGAAGAGTTCAAAGGCATGCTTCTGTTCATCTACCATACTCCAGTCTCACCTACTGTTTACTCTTCAATCTGCTGTAACTGGCTTCTCCCCACCATCTTGCTGGACCTGGTCAGGTCAAGTCTATCAGTGAGTCCACTTATTACCAAACTAAAAAAATTATTTTTGCCCTTTATCTTCCCTTGGATATCTTTGAATCTGTGGATGACTAGAGCTTTGAAACATCCTCTCTTGGCTTCCGTGTCACCTTGTCACTGGCTAATTCTTCTCCCGCTGCCTTCATGAGCCTTTTCCCTGTCCTCTTGCCCTTCCCTGCCGGGATTCTCCTAGCATCCTGCCCTTGTCCCTTTAGTCCTCTTGTCCTACATGCTGCTCAAAGAGAGCCCACGAACTCTCTTGGTTTCAACTTCAGAATATGCCAAGAGCTACATAATCCTCCCCCCATGCTTTGCCTTGAACTTTAGATTTTATACCCAGTTGTCTCCCAGATAGCTTGCTGGATCCAGGCATCCCACGAAACCTCCTACTTATTGTCTGTTTCTGGGGTTTTCTCGTACGGAAATGCCCTCCCCTGCACCTGATTCATACCTGCTATTTATTACCTTCTTTACGATTATTTCCTGGTTGTCCCACCCATGAAGTTTTCCTCCTGCATGTTTCCATGATACCATAGCACATCTCTTTTTTAACCTGTTGTGTGCTCTTTTTTATACTAGATTGTACATAGCTTGAGAGCAAGCCAGGTGACTTTTTTTTGACAATCATGTCATCCGTGTCAGTAGGTAACCAGCTTATATTAGTGCTCGATAAATAGTAAATGGATAAATGAATGAGTCAGTGAAAGACATCATTCCAACAAAATATTGTGCCTCTTTGGAGAATTTAATTAAATCTAAAATTGAGCATGGGGATAATCAGCTGAAGTTGAGTATGTCAAGTTTGCTCTCTTTTTCTCTTAATCCTCTGAAGAGCACAATATTGGAAGAGTATTTCACATCAAACATTGGAGACAAATATTTTGAAATCCTCACATAAATTCTGTTTTAAAATGTATTCAGTTTAAGTCTCCTGATTCAGGAAAGAAATGTTTATCATAGTTATTGAGGGAACTGGGAAGGTGCACTTTCTACTTTTACCTTACCTTTTTAATAACGTGTGGCTCACTAATCAAATGCAAAGAAGAAGTGCAGGTATGCGGGGAGGAAACCGTTCTGTTCCAGGAGACCTGCTGGGTGATTCTGGGCTGAAAAATGCATAAGATTGATTTTATAAAACTGTATAGATAATGATTTTATAGAGTAGAACCTACCAGTAATTCACAGAAGTTAAGCAATGCCATCTGGTTCATTTATATCCCCTTTACACAATGGGGAAATCCACGTGATAATAACATCATACATGAAGGATAACTGAGTGACCTGAATGAAGGCAGTGTAATTGGGATTACGCAGGTACTATATCCCAGTGATCTGTCAAAGCATTCTACAGCACACAGTGATGGGAAAATCTCTAGCTACAAAGGAAGTTCCCACTATGTCCAACTTACTGGGACTGCCAATTCTTAGCCCATTTCTCCCACGTGTGTTCCTTTGAGGGCTTAATCAGGATATTTTCCTACTCTAATCCCTGCTGATCTGTATCCTTATTTTGATTATTTTCCATTGCTTTCAAATGTAAGTTTATCAAGATCCATGATATCTGGTATGATAGCCACTAGCCATATGTGGCTACTGACATTGACATTAATGAAATTAAATAAGATGTAAAATTCAGTTCCTCAGTCACACTGGGACACAGTTCGTGTGTTCAACTGCCCAAGTGGCTATGGGATTGAACAGCACAGGACGTTTCCATCACCAGGGAATTTTCTATTGACCAGTGCTGATTCTAGGTCCATTATATTGACCTTTGGATGGTTTCAGTGTTGCAGAAGACCTTTTTTCCTACATTTATTCCATCAGGCTCCTTGCATTTAATTATGTACATATCATTCACTCCTCAATGAAATAAGTGGGGTCAGCGAATAACCTTATGAAAATGTAAATGGTGATTCTTAAAGAGTAATGCTTTTAATTCAAACTGCTCAGTTTTTAAGTAATTTTCAGTTATTTTAAGGGTCTGAGAAGAGCTAATAATGTGGAACAGAAGTAGTGAGACCCTCTTTGACATAAGCTGGGATTACTTTTAAGCTAGAAAAAAACACATTTTAAAAGTTTTGTTGTAACAGAATTTGGAGTTGTGCGTTTAGAGAAAGCAAGCTCAGACTCCACGTGCCTGAAATGTGACCACAGTTTTGCCACCGAGTTCATTGTTTTTCCAGCTCCACCACATATACCATAATAATAACCTAGAATTCAGCTGAAACTGTGAATTTTTTGCACACATATGCACTGAGATTCGGGGAGATGGTGCTTATTTGTCAATTTTAATGACTGGAAATGATGTTAACCATTTGCCAGTTGAAAGGAAAATGCTATGAATTATCTGCAGAATAAAGGGAAGCATCTTTCCGTTTTATCTGACTGAGCCCTCATATCTTCCAGCAGGTTTCGGTAGGTCAGGGAGCCTCAGAGCAAGGGTTCTGAAGAGACAGGTGAGTGACCCTGTGTTTTCCCTGCACGAGCCAGCACATGTAATTGGGTTTTACAGCTCAGTATTGATCAGGCTTTTCTGACGGCAGCTTCTCTAAAAAGCCTGTTCTCTACAGTAAAATGGAGCTTATGTACTTTTTAAGGTCCCTTGAGAATTTTGTGTTTGTGTCTGCTCGCCGAAGGGATGGAATGAAGAGCAGACTTTAGTATTTTGGGACCTTTCTTCCTGAGCCTGCTGGTATACCACTCAGGGGCTTTCCAGGTGCCGTGAGTTCATTCTGGTTGGCTTGGGTTGTTTTTCTTAACAACCTCCTTTGAACTTTGACACGTCCTCTGGGACTCTATCTGAACAGAGCAGTTAAATTATCTTGGCCTTGCCAGCCCTCTGCTATTCAGGAAGGAGCTCTCTTGGCAGGGAGTTCAGAATGTTCTACCTTTCGAGGAAGTCGGGATGGAAATTGAATTAGCCACTGTCTGTACTCCTCTGCCCTGGGTCCAGGTATGGATGTACCTTTCAGACACAGGCACCAGGCTGCCCCCTTAGCCTCGCTACAGATCTTTGATCTGACTGCCCGAGTCATTCTAAGAGGGTAGGAAGGCCAGAGTTGCCTTGTTTCTTTTCTCTTTCATATTAAAAAATGTAGATGCCAAGAATGATTACAATTACAATGCTAGTATCTCCTCTTGCGATTTTAAGGTGCACAGTCATTTAAAATGACGTTTGGCTTGGCTAATACACAAAGGCTTTTTCTGAAACCTTTCCTCCCATCCGTGTAGTTGCTGGAACATTTGGAAGTGAATGTGTTTGTGCATTCACACAGTGCCCTTCTGCTTCCTGAGTTGCTCCTGGGTTCACTCACTCAAATCCAGAATTAACAACAGATTACAAAATTAAGTGTGCGATGACTAACATTCTGACCAGTATCTCAGTGGTCACACAGAGAAACAAATTGTTTCTGATAACTTAAACCCATTAGGGAATATAATCCTTTTGGAGACTCTGACTATCTAAAGGTAGCCTGGACACTACTTGACATTTAGGAATTTTTCTGGTTCCTATTGTGGGCATTATACATGTATCTCTATTGTCCTTTGAAGCAATATTGTAGGATAATTATGTTAACACTGTTCCTGAAAACATATTTATAAACACACATGTGTCTATAATTGTGAGGAACGCCATACAGTGTGTGTCTGCTGTCATCTTTCCAAACAGACATGGTCTTGTGTGTTTATAAGGTACCTGCCTCTTCCGCATCCTCATCTTCCACTGCTCTGTCCAGTTGCAGTCCGTTCCCATGATTTCTTCTGTTTTCCTGTAAAACATTCATTTGCTTTTAAAGCGACTTAAAAACAAAGGTGAGAAATTGGGAGGACGGCATTAACCTCCAGGGAGTGATGTCATCAACCCCAGTTCCCTTCACATACAAGAAAATATTTTGTCTACATTCATAAAAACAGTCATGTTTAACATTTCAATCCCTTGATTTTTGACAAAGCAAAGCAAAAATGTGATAAGAGATTACTGAGGAAAGGCAGGCAGGTGCGCTCTCTCTCCAAACACTGCTTCTTAAAAATCTGTATTTCTTGAATTTATATTTTTACCCCCAAGGTTTATTGACTGAAAGGATAATAAGGCTAGTATTTCACGAGTCTTTGCTTCCTTCATAGTTTTGGATAGTTCTAAATTAAATGTGGATATTTATTTTATTGAGCTGTAATGGACATATAACACTGTAAGTTTATGGTTATCAATTTGATACATTTATATATTGCAGTGTGATAACCACCATAGCATTAGCTAACACCTCTATCACGCCAAATAATTATTATTTCTTTTTGGGGGGTGGGGTTGCAAACATCTAAGTCTTAGTCTCTTAGCATCTTTGAAGTTTAAAATACAATATTGTTGTCTATAATCCTATGCTGTACAGTAGAGCTTATTCACTACTTGTTTCAAGTTTGTACCCTTAACATTTCCCCAAATTCCACCACCCTCAGCCCCTTGTAACCACCATGCTGCGATATATTTTTATGAATTTGACTTTTTAGATTTTTAAGTATAAGTGATATCATACAGCATTTGTCTTACTCTGTCTGACTTACTTAGTATAACGGTCTCAGGGTCCATCCATGTTGTTGCAAATGGCAGGATCTCCTCCTTTCTCATGGCTGAATACTGTATTGCATATTATTGTATTGTACATTATAGTGTGTGTATGCATGTATATGTGTATATACATACACACGTACACACACCCCACTATTTGTTTATCCATCCATCGACACTTAGGTTGTTCACATATCTGGCCAGGGTGAATAATGCTGCAGCACTACATGTGGGAGTGGTGCTCTCTCTTCAATATCCTGTTTTTATTTTCTCTGGCTATATACCCAGAAGTGGGACTGCTGGCTGATATGACAGTTCTGATTTTTTTGAACTATCCTGTTCTCCATAGTGACTGAACCAGTTTACATCACCAGTGTTTTATGTTTTTGACCTATTTTGCATACTTTTGCTTCACAGATCCCTTATCTACTTACTGTAGACATGGCTGCTTTTACTACTGCCATCTTTAACCTTCCTACCAGCTCTGTAACTGTGTGATCCACTACCTTTAGTATATGTTTGCCTTTGCCAGTGGGTTTATTTTTTTCCTATCATAATTTTCTTATTTCTAATTGTGGCCTTTTCTTTGATGCTTAGGGAAGTCCCTTTTAACATTGTATTGTAAGGTTGATTTAGTGGTGCTAAAGAGTGTTACAAACAAAAGTTAAGAGTTTATCTCCGAGTTATGAATAATAACTTTGTCAAGTAACATTCTTGTTTGTAGGTTTTTTCTTTCAGAACTTTGAATGTATCATGCCACTCACTTTTGGTCTGCAAGTTTCTGCTGAAAATTCAGGTAATGATCTTACAGGAGTTCCCTGTATAAACAGTCTCTTCGTAACTTTAATTTTTGCTGTTTTAATTATAATGGGTCTTGGTGTGGACCTCTTTCAGTTCACCTTGTTTGGGACTCTGCTTCTTGGACTGGATGTCTGTTTCTTTCCCCAGATTAGATAGATTTCACCTATTTTTTCCAATACATTCTCTGCCCATTTCTCTCTCTTCTTTCTGGAGCCCCTATAATGTGAATGTGGTTGATATTGTCTAGCAGTCCCTTAAACTAGTCTCTTTAAAAATTTTCCTTTTTTCTGTTCAGCTTGGGTGATTTCTGCTACTGTCTTCCAGATCACTGATCCATTCTTCTGTGTCATCCAGACTTCTGTTGACTCTCTCTAGTGTTTTATTTTCATTTCAGTTAATTATATTCTTCAGCTCTCATTGGCTCTTTCCTTTTCTGCTTGTTGATGTTCTGTGTTTATTCATCCTTCGCACAAGATCAGTGAGCATGTTTATAATCATTACTTTGAATTTCGTATCAGGGAGAATGCTCATCTCCATTTCATTTACCTCTTCTACTGGAGTTTTGTCGTATTCCTTCATTTGGAACATATTTCTCTGCCTCTTCATTTTACCTAACTTCTGTGTTTATTTCTGTGTCTTATGTAGGCCTGCCTGTCTCCCGATCTTGGAGGGGTACCCTTACATGGGGCCCAGGAGCATGCCCCACTCTGGTCACCAGAGCTGGATGCTCCCTGCACCCTTCTGGTGTGGTCAGACTGATTACTGTTAGGAGTCCTTGCCGCCTCCTGCCTTTCAAGAGGCTCTCCACGATCAAAAAGTGGGTCTGACCCAGTCATTGCCTCTGTGCTGGAACTCCGAGGTGAACTTTTATGCGTGCCTTTTAGTAGCAGAGTCTATTTCCAATAGCCTTTCAGCTCTCCTGAGTGTAAGCTTTATTTGTTTAAAGCCCAGCTTCCCGGGGCTTCATCTTCCCAGTGCAAGTATCTCCTTGCTCCTCAGGGAGGAACTCTGTGGTCGTGCTGTCCCTTCCATGTGTGGGTC